GTCCGATGTCCGCAGAATGTTTAATCACGTCATAGCAAACAAAAACAAATCTCACAGAGCTAACAGAAATATTTAAAATGAATAAAAATAATAGCCTTCTGGGGAAAAATTTTATCTTCAACCACTGAAAATTTCAAAACAATTGGTCCAGTATTCGAAGAGAAAAGCGGTTTTTTAATATTTCCACTAGGTGTGTTATTCTGTGTCAAACAACAAGAACAACATAATATTGAAACGATCGTTATGTCCACTACGTGTCCAATAATTAAACGGTATAACAAAGACGGGATACGTCTTTAGACGAGATACGCCTGAGACAAGTATGTGCGACATGCACCCCAACAAATGCTGTGGTGTTTGCATACAAAAATTGGTATCAAAAATCCCCAACTTAGGTAAGAGTGACTGTAGTCTAGTAGCTGTGAACCCATCTATATATGCCAACTAACAGCGTACCAACATCAAATATGGGATTACATATTCATCTATTTTGTTGTCTGTTACAGAAGTAGTTTAACAATAGGTATCTCGGAATTTATTTTATTCATCTACAGACTACTGCAATATTTCCCGAACTTTAAATCACAGGCTGCAAAATGTAAAGCAGAGATCATTGCAAAATAGGCTTATTCGCGCCGGCGGCTCGCGGCAGCAGGGCTGCCACTTTTGCCTGACTAAAAACATCTAGATTGACCTCGAAAAACATCTAGAAACATCCAGATCAAAAAATAAAACATCTAGAAAATACATCTAGATATGAAGTCATTGAATTTAATGAAAAGTAACCATAATACAGTAATATTAGATGTCGAAGAAGCTAACATCATAACATAGAATTCAATTACCACCTGCAGAACTTAGTCTACAAAAGACCTTGTTCTTATCATCTGAAGGGGCAAACCATTCCTTAAGACAATCTTTTCTAAATTTTTGCTTTGGCATTTTGAAAGGTTGGTGTTAAAGGGAGACACATTCAATAGCACATATAGACTTGAATAACTTAATTTTGAAACCCCTTGGCAACAATATCATCGGACCAACGTCGTCCTTTCTATTTAACGTTAATTAAAACGTCACATATTTTTATCATGTTTAATTCGTTATTCAAATACTTTAAGTACATATGGCTGTATGGTACCGGTGGACGAATACAATATGAATGAGTTTTATCAATCTTACATGTTACATCAATGCTCCTGAATAATGAAATAATATTCATTCACCTATTACAGTATTATACACATCTCTTTATTTATTTCCCACTGAATAATATTTAAAACCTTGAAAAAAAAAATATCTAGATTTTATAGCTAACGTCTAGGCTCCAAATTTTACATCTAGATCTTGAAAAAAACATCTAGATCTAGATATAAAACATCTAGAGTGGCAGCCCTGCGCGGCAGTGAGTGATAGGTTGAGTGATCATACAGTGGTTTTTGTTCAACGACGACCGTGTGTAAGATTTCGAGAGTGGCCGTGCGTAAAGTTTTTACGAGATGTTTCGTGAATTGCACTTAACGAGATTTGGTAACTGCGTTTTGGAGAGACAAGGTTACGTGCTCGTAAACGCGGCTTTTTACGAAGTTTGGCGAATGGGGCCCCAGATCTGATGTTGTTGTATCTGCGGTATTGGGTCCGACCTCACCTATTCTCGTGGTTGAGCCTGAGCCCGTGGTCACTCATATTCCGAACGAGTGGCGTAGCAAGACTCTCGTGCCCTCCAGCAAAAATATTTCTAGGAGTTCAACCCTAAAAAATCTCGGACATAAGCTAAAACAACGCTTTTTTTATTTCATCAAAAAGCATAACATGTCGCTACAAAAAGGCAATGGTAATCTAAAATTTGCCGTTTATCTTGGTTAATTTTTTTTTATACGTTCTTCCTCTTCTGCCCTTTTTCTGCGTTTCTGGGCGCCACTGAGAGGTTTTGCTTTCGATATCATTCTGACAGCTATCGTAATTTTACCGGTGCGATCAAACCACAAAACGCCGAAAATCGACGACTCCCTGGCATTGTTACGTAACAAAACGATTTGAGCAGAACTAACATCAACGTTGTAAGATGTGCATTACTTGTTTTGCACTGCAGCTTTTGGTTTGTGGCTTAAAATTCTAAATTCTAACCGCTTGGGCCCCTTTGCGCTGTGGGCGCGACCGCGGGGGTTGCGGGGGTGGATGCTACGCCACTGTTCCGAACCCTCCAGTGGTTGCAAAAATTATTAATGCCATGCCACTTCTACCCCCACGCTAACCATGACACACCAGAGCTTAATTTCTGCGCCGGATGATCGCCAGAGTTCATCTTCTCAGAAGGGTGCGGTATTTTTGGGTGTTCTAAACCTGGAAGAGCTTGCGTTAAAAACTGTCCCGCTAGGTGGAGGAATCTGTCTCGATGTCCTCACCAGACCAAAGTTTAAAACTTTGGTCTATACCCGTGCCTCTGTTTTCCAGAATGCCGAACGCCGGCCCCCATGCCGTTATTCACGTTCTGCCCAGAAACGGACCAAATCAAACCAATTGAACGGCGATCGTGGTTATCGGCCGGGGTTCGGTCTTCAGTTGAGGACGGCTTTCTGGAGAAATCAGAAAAGCAAGGTTAGGTTGATCAACGAGGATCACTTGGTGGTCTGCGGTGCTCTGTTTCCTCCTCGATACTAGAGAAAAATATTGCCCTGATTCGGCTCCGCACGAAGATGGTGACTAGACGTTACCTTCGTGGATGTCCCGCAGCGCTTACCGCTACTTACCGCAACGAGGATTTTGGAAGAGCATTCACCAACGGGGTGAAATTCTCTCCAAGCTCTTCGAAATCTGCAGGAGTTCCCGGCGTATTTTGAGATCATGACGTTCCTCTAGGGCAGGGTCGTCCAACCCGTGGCCCGCGGGCCAGTGAAAATAAAACGAAAAACCCCTTAAAATTTGTTCTACGAGCCCCGCGACAGGTAAACATACTACCGCGGGCACTAAAGATGAAACGCAGTAAATTGTGCGTGTGGTGTACTTTTCTACTCATTCTGATTCTACGCCGAGGTCACACGTCATCTTTTCTTGGATTCTGATGAAATATAAGAAAATCAAAGTGGAGTAGGCTATGGTCAGTCAGTTTTACTTTCTATCATAAATGCATTACTTGGGATTCTATTGCAGGTCGTCTATGAAAATTTATGTGGTGCCCTCAATATCTTGGTGCCCCAAGCACGTGCCTATTTTGCTTAATGATTAATCCAGCGCTGCTCATATCCGAACCTTAACCCCGAGGCTTTTTCTCTCAACTGCCTCTCCTCTGTGTTAACGTAACATTATGCTCAAGTCCAATTTCTACAGAGTTCGTAACCCTTCCATTAATGCCGTTGTAGAAGATAATAGTTATTTGGACAACATTTTTTACAGCAAAGAACAAAAGCCAAAATTTTGAAAACCCCAAACTGGTTACAAACTTTTTCTATCAATCTATATGAGGGTGCTAATATCCATGGGTTAGGGTTAGTATGGGTACAAATATCCGTAAAAAAATTCCATAGGTGCAATAGTATGCAGGTGCAATTGTCGTGGGTTCAAATGTAATGGAACCGTATCCAGCTTTTATGATCAGACTACAACCGCCTCGCAATCGTCTTGATCTCAATTGCCATAGCTACAAAATTTTCGTATAAATATTTTAAATCATCGCGAAACTCATTTGAAATGCCCCCTATACGTTACAGGTTCACGAAAACAGTATTTATAAGGTAACCGTACTTGTTCAAGTTTTATATTTCGGGTATAAGGCTAAAAAAGGCTTGCGGTATGAAGCGCGACACACTAGAATCGTGACCTGGAGTTGAATTTGAACCATTCATTTTTCACTTGCTTCTCACACATTAAAATTTGTGTTGCTTGATTCATAAGCGTATTTAGACACCAAAATCTTCTGAAGTCGTTTCCCGATTACGTTATGCCACCAAACCAAAAATTCTAAGATGTCAAATCGGCAACTTATATGTCCCTTATATCTAGAACAAGGAAACATTAAAATCCTATAAATATAACAGGAAATCACAAAACAAGGATATGTGGTCGGTCAGCCAGCGGTCAATTGTTCATTTGTCATCACAGAAAACAAGCATTCAGAGAACTGATACGGGTGGATGCCAGATTGAATGATAGATGTTATGCAGTGGTGGGATTCAAATTTTTTGGCAATCGGTTTCATCATAAAAGTCATATTTTCCAGCCGGTCCCATCATAAAAGTCATATTTTTCAGCCGGTTCTGTTACAAAAAGTCATATTTTTTTCAGTAATGCTAACCGGTTCGCTGATGACGGTTCTATAGAACCGATGCGAACCGGCTGAATCCCACCATTGAAGGTATGTCGTCTGAGAAGCGGTTGATTGTAAACAAACCAACTAGGTGCTCTGGGAAAGAATTAGCACTGAATAAATCGAGATCAACAACGCACGACACCCAACGTAATTATTAGTAACCGTGATTACATGATCATTCTTATGTGACTCAAAAGTTCATAGTTTTGACCATGCTGTATCGCGGTCATGTATTGTGCAGTGCGGGATTGAACACAAAGCAATTTGAACTCGTAAGCGGTGAGACGGATTACAAATAATACGATATCATGTGTGGTCTCGTTTCTACATTGATGAATTTCATCGTTTGCAGTGTATTTTTTCACTGTTACAATTGCGACGGTGTATTTTTTTCTTTTTTGCTGATGGTAAACAAACAGAACGAACTCATGCTGTCGGATAGGCCATTTTACGTTAGATGTGCTTCAGGCAGACTAGGTCATGTGATTACGGTATGTCGCATGCACGCAACGAGTGGTAGTTACGTCTCGCTATGCGGTTATATATAAAATAAGTATCTCCTTTTATATTTGATTGGAACAACTGACTAAAAGAGGAAAAAATCTACTGCTATAATAGTTGTTTACCATAGGTGTTGAGAAGAGTTGTTGGTAGTACCCAGTACAGTACGCGCACCGCTGTCAGGCTGTACCAAGGTTTCCTGTATCCTTTTTGCAACAGATCTGCAGATACACGCATTTCATTGCTGGAACATAACAAATATTTTTATTAACAGTTTTTCAACCATAAGTTTTAAGTTTATTTTCTGTTGTTGCTGTATTGCTTTTTCAGCACAAGATTCAAACTGCAGAACTGGTAAGCCTTCATTTTTTTCAATAGTACAGTAGACTAGTACCTGCAGACAGACATTTGGGCCTTCAAATCTTACATTTCTGCATTTTGACATAACATAAAATTATCAATTTATTTTATTGAAGGGAATTTAAATGATGAAGATCATATTGGCAATTCTTGGGCTTCTGGTGGCAGTTGAGGCAACTCCCCATATTGTTGCATCGTTCTCACCATCTTTCAAGGAGATTGTTGATCATGTTAACTCGCTAGGAACAACCTGGAAAGCTGGTCATAACTTCGATCCACTCCACTATACCCCTGACACAATTGCTCGTTGGTGTGGAACAATTATGGGAAAGAGAATATTGCCATTGCAAACTGAGTGAGCATTAAAACATTTAATTCACTGCAATAATTTCTGAATTATTTTTTAGTTTTGCATCTTTTGTTAACTCATAAATATTACTCGGTATTTCCATATTGGTTTTTGTTGATCATCTTATTGTTTTCAATCTGCTTAATTGTTTAAAGAGTTCCAAGAAAATATATAAAATTTCATGAAATCTTTCAGAAAAACCAAAATTCACGCCACTGATATCCCTGATGATTTTGATGCAAGAAAACAATGGCCAAATTGTCCATCAATCAGAGAAGTTCGAGATCAGGTATTTATGTATAAAAATAATATTTTTTGAATTAATATAAAATTGAATTTTGTAATATTAATTTTATTATTTCATAATATTTATTTAACCAGAAGTTAAATTGTTTTATACATGGTATATTTTATGTAATTTCTGCATCAAGTTACCTTTCATTACCTTTCATTTTCAAACTTGTCAGTCCACCCTGATGTTATTTTCTTTTTAGGGCAATTGTGGTTCATGCTGGGCATTTGGAGCTGTAGAAGCTATGTCTGACAGGTTTGTATATGCTTGATATTACCGAGGATTTTTGTATTATTTAATTGCCACATGGTGATATTCACAAATTTTCACAAAAGTCATACCCCAGCTAGTTACGGCCAGATACAATATCAAATTTAACATGTTTCTGATATGCAAAGTAAAATTGGATCAAAATGAAAGTATAGTTTTTTACTGTCTGATTAATGTTAAAAAATCACTTTAGAGAAGAATTCTCTGCCTAGCTAATAGAAAATATGTGTGCCACATACTTTTCATATGATGATTTTGTTGAGTCTGTCAGGCACATAGCATTGAAACTGTTTTCTGCAAGCAAAATAATAATATTGGTATAATAACATCTATATTTGTTATATCAGGTATTGCATTGCAAGCAACGGGAAGCATATTGTCGAGGTATCGGCAGAAGATTTGTTAACTTGCTGTGGTATTGAGTGCGGCAACGGGTAAAAATTCATATTAACTCATAATCTTGTAATGAATATTTGTCAGGTATATGTAATTAAAAGATGTTAGTTATGGTCTATGGAGATATGCAATGTGGCAAAGTTATTATCAGTGTTTTAAAATTGTGTTCCCACAAGTGAAAAACGCATATCAGGGTTTTTCCTATTGTGTGATAGACCACAATTATGAAATCATGCAATTCAATAAAGCTGGGAATCTATTTCAAAAACTTATTTCAGTAATGCTATAAAATATTAACAAATGAGAATGCACTAAATGCATCAAATGAAAATGCACTAAATGTATCAAAACTAACAGCATCTGGTAAATCATTAGCCTGGGCTCAAAAACCCTAAGGTCATTTATTGAATCATGTGATGCTGACATGAAAGTTTGTTTCTCAGTCGGATACATGATCGGTCATGCGGTTTTTATGAGATCAAATCTATTGGAAAATTGCTGAATGATGGCCGCTATGAATATAGAGAATGAACATTGCTTATTCAATATACCTGACACAATATAGAACTTATATCAATTCATTTTTAATAGTACTAACTAACTGTGTTAATATTTGTAATGCATGTCACAAAGTGCATTGTGCATGGTTCGATGATGCATTACTAATAGGCTGAGGTTGAATTTTTTATTATTTCCTGTTGTTGGCAAAATCACATGATGTTATTGTTAAAAGTATTGACATTATGAGTGAGTCACAATTTGGAATACGAGTTAATTCCATGACACATGATGTATGTAAATTTTTTTTGAAGATAGGAAATGGATCCATGGATCTGCTCTATTGTCTTTTTATATTAGTAATACCTAGTTTCATTTAAATAAGCGTATTGAAAAATAATAACGGGCTTCAATTGCTTAAGACTTCCCCATGAGTCATGTCACATGACTGTCTGGAATAAAATGTCAAAAAAACTTACATTCATTATAACGTCACAAATCATGTGGCTTAATCAATATCACTAATTTGTATGCGTATTGAAAATTAATAATGTGCTTCAATTGCTCAAGACTTCTCTATGTTAACAGCAAACTTGCATGCTGTTTGTAAGCAATTGTCGAAAAAATTTGCCATTCAATATAAAGTCACAAATCATGTGACTTGATCAATCAAATTCTAATGGTGCTTGTTTGTGCACAATGTCATGAAACTAAAATTGTAATTTTAATTTGTAATAATTTTTAATTTTATTTTTTTTACACATTTAACTAGATTTGCTATGTCTCTGCCCAAATGTTGTATTTATTAATTATTGAGATGTAAACTAATTCATTTATGCAGTTATGGAACTAGTAAAAGTAGTTGTAATATCTGTAATTTGAACTTGTTTCGAATATAGATTTGCAATTTCAACAGCCTGAATCAATTGGAAATTTCTGTAAAAACAGGTTTCATTAGTATGCAACAGGTATGCATCTTGATTATTTTTCAGATGCAATGGAGGATTTCCACAAATGGCATGGGAATATTGGAAGAGAAATGGATTGGTAACTGGTGGATTATATGGTACTACAACAGGATGTTTGCCTTATGAGATCAAACCATGTGAACATCATATAAATGGTTAGTTATACGGTTGGAAAAATTATTTTCTCAGATTCAGTTACAACTGGATATTCATGTGAATATCATGTTAATCATTTGTGTTTTATTTGAGCTCAGAAATTTAAATTTTTAACTGAATAATGACATTTTTAAAGATTTTGTACTGGATACGATTGGCAACTTAATGTTGTGCTTCATATGTTGTTAATACTTAATAATTTATCATTTTCTCATTGACTAATGATTGGCTACCAGATTAGGGTTAGGCCATAATTTTATTCAGATTTTCTATTAAGAGTCTGGGACTGTCTGTGTTAGCCAAGAGTATTTACACCCGTCCATAGGTTTCAGTCCCTTTACACAACTTGATGTGAAGTAGGCGAACAAAATTAGTTACCTCCTTATTAGTACACATACTTCTGGAGTGCCAATTATTGATATACTAAATGTAGGTTCCAGACAACCATGCTCTGGAGAAGAGAACACACCAAAATGTGTAAGAACGTGTGAAGGGGATAAATCAATAGACTACAAATCCGACAAGCATTATGGGGCCAGTGCCTATGCTATATCTGAGGAAGTTGAAAAAATCCAAATGGAAATCATGACCAATGGTCCTGTTGAAGCTGCATTTACTGTGTATGCCGATTTCCCGACTTACAAATCTGGTAAGATGTTTTAATTGTCTACTCGTGCCTTTCGGGTGGTAATTGAATTTTATAAATTTATAATTGAAAAATATTTGTTCATTTATGAGATCAAGCATGAATATTTAATTTTATTGTACCAGTCACATCCGTTACATGAATGGGCAAAATATTCTCTGAAGATGAAAGGTTGTGTTGTGAAAAAGGATGTTTATACAGAATAATTTGATATTGAAAAATGCAAAAATCATTCAGATTTTAAATTTCAAAAAAATGTTTCGATATTTCAAATTTTGTGGCAAGCAAATTTATTACTTTACAGTAATTTTAATAAAGCCATATTGATTGGGCATAGGTTATTGTGAATCTTACGCAGCTTTCCAAGCTTTGGGTAAATAGGTTTAAGAATATGGTATTATGATCCATTCTTGTCCATAACAGGAGTGTACAAGCATGTGACAGGAAAAGAGCTTGGTGGTCATGCGATTAGGATTTTAGGATGGGGTGTGGAAAATGGCACTCCATACTGGCTGGTGGCAAACAGTTGGAACAACGATTGGGGCGATCATGGATTTTTCAAGATCCTTCGTGGTAACAACGAGTGTGGAATTGAAGGAGAGGTGGTTGCTGGTATGCCCAAAATATAAGAAGGAAACAGTATTTTGACATTTCGATAAGATTTTTTTATGCTGATTTATCTGGATTGTTATGTTAATCAAATTATGCATTAAAGACTCCCATTATCTATTTTTTCTGATCTGTATTTCCAATGCCTTTCATGTTGTGGCATTTGACTGTAAAGATGCCGAATCCTTGTCTCTGTCCCCGTGTTAATTATTGTTGATTATTGTATTAGTAATACCATTGTTAATGCTTTTTTGGCATGAAGAAGTTCCTTTAACTTTCAGGTCTTGATTTTCTAACATTTACAAAAAGTTCACTTTATATTTAGTGCAATCGTTTTTTTTTTGCAGTCAGTTTTGTTGATTTCTATGTAGTTGATATCTGTGTGTATAATTTCTCATAGTTCACCAGTATTAAATCAGTTCAGCAACATTACTGATAGACTTGAAGTGGATGTATTTAAAATCGGGGTTGGGTGTTTAAAATCGGCGCAAGTGTTCTGACTAGGCTAGAGACTCTAATTATCACAAGGACTCTAAATTCTCGATCATTGAGAGAAAAATTCCGAATTGCGCCGCTTATAGCAGATTAATTATATTATATTATACATTTTGTAAAGGCTAGTTGTAGAAGTGATTTTCCAATTGGAAGATGTCTACTAACTCGCAGGCCGCAAACCAATTTATTGGTATTATCAAAGCGGCCGCGAGACGTTGACCTGTGCTATGAAACGGTTGTGACGTCGTAAAACTCCATTCGTGGCGTAAATCGGTGGTTCACAAACGGGGTCGCGTGAAGATTTTTCGGGGTCGCCTAATTTCTGTCAAACATGCGCACACAAATGAATAGGATTTTGAAGTTGGAATATGAAATTTGTGCTGGTCGGCATGTATCGTAAAAGTGCCTAACTTCGTATTTTTTGAGCAATAACTCGACCATTTGTTGTCCAAACGAAGCCACAATTGCCCAAGAAAACTGTCATGTAGTACGTATCCATTCCAGCTGGTCGATAGGTATCAGTATTAAGTGGCGGCGCGTGGTCATTTTGACAACCGGGGCAAGCTACTGAGGGACCAAGTCACCCCCATCTACGGGGACAGGATGAGCGCTGTAAGTTCTCCCATCATTTTATGGGTATAAAAACCATTCCATCGGTAACAACCAATCGGCAAAAGCGACAATTTTTAACGATAAGAAAGTGTCTTTAAAACCGGTCCAAGTCAAGGGATTAATAAATATAGACATAGTTTATTTTGAAACCTCTTTCAAAAGGAAAGGCAATATTTACCCAGATAAATACAATGACATATTAACAGAAACTTCGGGAAAGCAGACAAAACCTAAAATAAGGTTTAAAACGTTACTATGAAGAAAGGAAAGTTAATGCAAAGATAAGGACATGCGTCGCTCACTCATAAATATATATGCTGCTAGACTTCTACTGCTTGAACATATATGCAACACGCCGCGGTTTCTTGGAAGCAAAATGCTCAATAACGCGCTGATTAAAGTCATGCATCCCAGAAATAACGTCTCTGTGAATGGATAAAACAGCCAAGGAATTTAATCTATCTTGCTTCATCGTGTTTCTGAGATACGTTTTAATACGCTTCAGCGTGCTGAATGTTCGCTCTGCGTCGGCGGAAGAAATAGGCGTCGTCAAAATGATGTCCAGAAATTTTGCAGACGCCGCAAAGGTAGTTACTAGAGTGTTAACCCATAGAGCGCGCAAGTTGATGTGATGTTCAAAAAAGTTTGATTTGTGTATATACATCGCAATTCATTTTCCAATTTACCCACGTTTATCATGGGGTAAAATTTGGAGACAGTAGCCAACAAATGGATGGGAAATTGACGTGCAAATTTTGAAAATTTTTTGGGGTTCATCAAAGCAATGAGCATATATACACTCATTGATCAAAGAGAACGCGGCAAGGTGTTCAGTGCGCAGACGATCGCCTATTTGATCCACCAGAATGTCACAGCATTCCTTTGCAGACAAAATCAAACGCTGCGTTGTTTGCCCGCGGCGTAAAGAAGCACTTCATGTGTCGTCGGGTTCCATTATCTTTGAACCCGCGTACATTTGAACCCGTACATCTGAACCCGTAATTTGAACCCAGGACAATTGCACCTGTATACTATTGCACCTATGAACATTTGCACCTACGGACATTTGAACCCATACATTTCCACCCATGGATTTTAGCACCCGCATATAGATTGAACCCGCGGACATTTGAACCCGTGTACGTTTGCACCCGCGTACATTTGAACCCATGTACATTTGCACCCGCGGACATTTGAACCCGTGTACGTTTGCACCCGCGTACATTTGAACCCATGTACATTTGCACCCGCGGACATTTGAACCCACGAACATTTGCACCCGCGGACATTTGAACCCATGTATATTTCCACCCACAGACATTTGAACCCACGTATATTTGAACCCGCGTACATTTGAACCCACGGACATTTGAACCCGCGTATATTTGAACCAACGTATATTATATTTGAACTCGCTTAATTTGAACCCGCGTACATTTGAACCCACGTACATTTTCACAAAAAATGTTTGCCCCAACGGCAATTTCCAGTCGCAAATAATTTTCATGTTACAGGCGCAAGCTCAATATTCTAAATTTCAACACTGTTTCACTTGTAGTTAGTTTTGGTGTATATGCATTTATCCGCTTCTACGAAGCAAGCATTTTTGAGTGTCATTGTAGTCCGAGGGATAAACGTCTCTTAACGATATAAACAACATTGTTCTGCCAAAGTCTTTTTTCTTTTGCTGTTTTTTTACATTGACATTTGTAAAACCTTATTTCATTCGTTAGCCGCGATCTCCAAAACAGACGATGACCTAGAAAGCGGTATTTCGTTGAAATACCTGAAACCAGGGCTAATACGGAACAAATATCTCACAGACCAATGAAGTCTTAAATGAGGGTCTTACTAAAACTAGCTTTACAGTAATATTTTTAGTGGTCAACTCCTATAAATTTGTTCTGAAATTATTGCACCGAAAACGCCTACTATGATATCCCGCCCAGCATGAGATTTGGGAGCTCTGTGGCCACTTCATGTTTTCTTGCTAGCATGTTTACAAAATTGTTATATGTATGCATACACGACCACGCTTTACTGTTGAAAATGAGTGTTGTCTCAAATCAGGTTTTGACATTTTTCCTAAAATCAATCTATAAATTGAATACTATTGTCTGTATATAAATAAATAAACTCACAGATTCTTCGTTTCTAAGAAAATATGAAATTAAGATAATGAAACTATGCCATTTTTGTAACAACATGTTCATAGCCAAATGCCAGTTTTATTGAAGTATTGTTTCATTAGAATGTCAGAACAAAACTATACATAGAAATCGTAAGTCATGTAAATATGTTGAATATTCGAAAGTGAAGAAGTTTTAAAATCATTATCGTGGCCAAAAATGTTTTTTGCTGTTTACACTATTTAGAGTGAATCGAACATATTCAGCATATAGGGTCTGTTAAATATGATATTGCAATTTACAAACGACGTCATAGGTTACGGATTACATTTATTTTAATATCTCAATAAAGTTATCACTCACAAATTTGTGTCGAATGGGCGATCAATTTTGAGATAGAGTAGCTATGGACGTTTTACAAAATAGGAATTTATCAATTATGATACAATAGTTAAACAACAAATCAAAGTAATGACGATAAACGAAATTTTACGATATCACGATCAAAATCAAATAGACTGCATTTGAGCTATTGAGTGGAGATACCTCAGCTTGTCGGTTTCAGTTCCATATGAAAAAACTTAACTGTCAACCTAACGGCAAGTTGTACATACTTTGATCTTTGGTGGGCCGTAACTCCTACATGAGCATTTGCCGCAGTCAGTTTGTGGACCGCAATGTCTTTTCGTAGGCCATTCAGCAAACCCCATATATATACTCGGATGTTTGCATCGGAACATTCCTTGTAAGGCGTTGTGAAATCCTTCTACAGCGTTTGTTGTTCTTGGGGCCGAAGGCACCATTTCAATCTCTTTGGCATAGTTCCACAATCGAGGGGGAAATCTTGTTTCTCTTGGACGTGAACCCACTTGAGGTCCACGAATGTAGGTAGATTCAAAATATTGCAAAAGTTGATTGCATTCGGGCAAATCTTCAAAGGTGTCGCAAAGCAAGGGGAAGACTTCGGCAACCTCGTTAATGGGAACAAAAGCCAGAGCTGCCAAACTTCTAATTTTCAGATTGAAAGAAGGTAAACATTCAAACTTCTCTTTTAATCCGATAGAACCAACTTTTCGAAATAGCTTGTGACAGGTGAAAATAACATTCTTTAAAATCGGCCAGAGGAAAATGTGCATGGAATGCATTGATAGCTGCTATTTCAAAATCAACAATGATTTTGGTGGGGTTAGCATTTGGGAAAATGATTTTCAACGCTTCCAACATCTGAACGTATGTTTCTTGTCGCTTGTCTCGTAATAGGAAATATACGCATGGTGGATAGGATGCGCCCACTTTACAGTGAATTGTATACAACTGGAAGAAAATATCGGGCACCACATCAAATGTACCGTCGCCAAGATATGGGTCACTATCTAGATGTGCAAGTAGTGATCGATCTCCAATGGCCATTATCCGATGACGATCCTCCGAGCCAGTGTCATGCAAAATGATATCTAAATATTCGCTCGGAATATCAAAGCTTGCACTTGTAGGATTCGTACGTGAACAATTTTTCTGTCGCCTTACTCTGCGTATATTGGCCTCCAGAGTCGACTTGCCTGGCAAGCGCATTACTACATCTGTTGATCTATTATTCAATACTTCACCTAAAATATATCTTGTCGATGTATTTGATGGTGTTGATGCTGCTTCTTTTAATGTTGCACGGATGATCCCAACTTCAGTCTTAATGCTGTCGCCAGAATGACTGTGATATCCTAGTTCTTTTATTACATTTTCACCGATTGTAACAACAGTCGATTTACATCGAAATTTCCTAAACTGACGGCAGCGCCAATGAGTAGCATCTGAAACCCGATCATTTCGCTTACAATATTCGTGGCCTTTGTAAATCAGTAAGTCGTTTCCTCTTGTGGTCTTGGAAAATGTAGGCGCCATGTTTCCAACTTATTTTCGCAAAGGGACTTGTCATCTTCGCAGCTGCAACGTCCTAAAGAAACAGTTTGGAATTGTCTGCGAGGGGAAAAGGGCATTGATGCGAGGAAAAACTTTGCGCGGGATCGAACTAACACATCAATTAAAATCCTTGCTCGCGCTCTTCAAGAGTCGTCGACCGTTCAAAGCACAAATCATACTCCCCAATTTTGGCTCGCATTCTACAGCGGAACATTTTGTCCATTGAGTCTTATGATATCGACAATTGCGATGACAATGACAGACGGAGTATAATATAAATATATA